GACTTCCCTGACCAACGGAAAACGCTAGAAGGGTTGGGTGGACCTTGACTTTTGGAGTTGTAGTTCACTTACATCTAGAGAGCACTGTGGACTCAAACAATGATGGAACTTGGCACGAATATTCAGTATGCCCAAATATAAACACAGATGGAGTTTTGGGGAAATAGACCTTGACATTTAGGAGTTGTAGTTACTGGGATTTATAGTTCACCTACAATCAAGGAGCATTCCGAACCCCACCAACGATAGAATTGGGTCAAACCTCCCATACAGAACCCTCATGACCACCAGAGTGGGCCACAGCAACGCGTGGTAGGGGATGGCTAGTAAATTATATATCTAAAACAGAATGACTGTGTCATGAAATGATCCTTGTCTAAAAAATGTGTCATTGTCACCAACATGAAATGTTTGGAAAGATCCACTTTATAGTAAAAACCCTAAAAACACCTGACAACCCTAGACTGGGGAGGCCAATCGTGAACTAGCATTAAAAGCTGTGGAGGGAAAAGCCTATTGAAATAATGTGATGGAAGCCTCAGGTCCTGAAGATTCATTCTGGTATCTGGTTGCTCAGAGAATGCATGGAGACATTTGTGATACATGCTGGAACCCTCCCAAGACATTCCACAGGCATCTCCAACCAATACTGCCCAAGAACCCAGTGACTTGGTTGGAGCATCTTCATAGATTTGGTACCAAATATGGAGGAGCCAATGTTGTGTATTGATTGTCCTATTCTTTGTGAAATCCTTTTCACCCTGGCAATAAGTACTGTCATAGCCTTAGATTTCTATCTGATGTGGAAACTCCTCCGAGGTATACCTACATGGAAAGAACTACATAGATGGTGTCAAACATGCTACAGAAATCTTTCTGCCTTCCTTGAAGGTTTATCCAAGCTTTGGCCCATCAGAAAAATGGTAAGTACATTTGTCTCATTGTGGCCCAATACCCATGGCTGCACATCATGGAACTGTGAACCTCTGTTTGTCTTTCTATTCATGTTACTACTGGTTAAGTCTCCCTTATCTGAAATACTTGGGACCAGAGTTTCAAGTTGCAATTTTTTTAAAAAAAATTGGAATAACTATTTGCATATACATAGTGAATGAGGATTGGGAGGGAGAAGGAAGGTGTTAGTATTTACATAGTAAAGGTTGTCCCCTGACATTAAGTCCAGTCATGTCTGACTCTGGGGGTTGGTGTTCATCTCCATTTCTAAGTCAAAGAGCCGGCATTGTCCATAGACACCTCGAAGGTCAAGTGGCTGGCATGACTGCATGAAGCCGCGTTACCTTCCCGCCGGAGCGGTACCTATTGATCTACTCACATTTGCATGTTTTTGAACTGCTAGGTTGGCAGAAGCTGGGGCTGACAGCGGAAGCTCACACCGCTCCCCGGAATCGAACCTGCGACCTTTCGGTCAACAAGCTCAGCAGCTCAGCACTTTAACCCACTGTGCCACCGGGGGCTCCAGTATTTCCATAGCCTGCTGAAATTTTCCTTTATGACATATTTCATAATGGGAATTGTGTGTGTGGGAAGGTGGGTGGGAACAAAAAAGCTAGAATAAATAAAAGTTTATGGTATAAGTCACAGAAAGAGGGAGGTCTTGGATTACCAAACCTCAAGTTATATTATCAATCAAATCAAATTAGATATATAGTAGAAAGTTTAGCAAAACAGAAGAGCTTGGAGTGGTTAGAAGAAGATGATAAAAAATTAGAACTGAAATTAGAATACATGTTTATAGGGGTAATAGAGAAAAGGGTAAAAAGAAATGCTATAAATTTAAACAATCCCTTTCTAAAAATATTTTAGAGATTTGGGGGAGATATAAAAAAAAACCCTAATGCCAGGAATTTCTCCTATCATGCCAGTTTTAATGACAGAAAACTTCCCAGAAAATTTTAAAAAAGAACTCAAAGTAGAACTTAATGGAAGAGGTTTAATGAAAGTAAAAGACTGGGATCTGAAAATGGTAAATATGGAAAAAATAAAAGAGGAATTAGAGACTTAGATTGGTATAAGTATCTACAATTGGGTAAATGGTCAAGTGATATAAGGAAAAAGTATAATGAGGTAGGGAATACACAAAAATAGAAAAGATGATAACTCAAAGGGAGACTAAAGAAGAGAATATAACATTAAAAGGCACAGTAAGTGATATCTATAAACTGTTATTAATGAATGAACAGGAACAAGATTATTTGAAGGAAGTATGGGAAACAGACTTAGGGGGAAAATGAATAATCAAGAATGGGCAAACATGGAATATGAGAATACTAAAAAATATGTCTATCAGAATTAAAGAAAATTACTACAAAATGATATGGAGCTGGTATCTAACTCCTATTAAATTAAATCAGATTGATAAAAATATTCAAATCAGTGTTGGAGAGGTTGTCAGGAAATAGGGACGTATCTTCATATGTGGTGGTCATGTAACATTATACAAAAATTTTGGGAAAGCATATTCAAAGAAATAAGAGCAATAATAAAAATAGAGACTGAGATTACACCAAAATTAGCTTTATTACTTATACATGATAATATAATTCCCGTACAAGAAGAAAAGGAATTGGTTTCTAATTTGATAACAGCAGCTAAATTGTTAATAGCAAAAAATTGGAAGGAAAAAAAAGAAATTCAATTAGAAGAATGGTATAGGGAAATTTGGAATATAACGATTAATGATAAGCTAACTTCCAATATTAAAATTAAAAGGGGAATATGTAAACAAACAGACTTTTGGAAAATATGGGGAAAATTTATCGAGTATGTGTTTAATGAGGAAAAGGGGTATAAGCCAGCAAGAGAAACAATGATATTTTGGAATGGTGAAAAAACATGAGTTGGTTGGTCCTGGTGGAGGGGGCACAAACTAAGGGTAAGGGGAAGAGGGGGAAAATGGTATAATAATAATTATAAAGAAATACAATATGTATAACTGGATAAAAGGTGTGTGATAGAGTTATATGTAGCACAAGTTGTAATGGAAATTTAAAAATAATGATGAGAAATATGATCAAAGAAGTTTTTGATGTTTATTTACTGTTAGATTGTATATAATATGAATATATATATATATATATATATATATATAATAAAAAAAGGAAGGTGGGTGGCATGTGTGGTCTCTGTATACGCCACTGCTGGGCAAGTTGTCCTTGCGAAAGTTTCTGATATGGCAATGACTTACTTTCTAATTGTCCCAAATGACAGGGTCATCCCAGTGAATTCTCTGCTTTCTGTCTCCTTTTCCCATTTTCCCCTTTGACCTCAGTTTATGTCAACTACTGGAAATTCAGTTCAAACTGTAAAAATAGTTTACACCCCAAAATAATTTACAGACCTCACAACCTCTGAGGATGCTTACCATAGATGCAAGCGAAACGTCAGGAGAGAATGCTTCTGGAACATGGCCATATAGCCCAAAAACCTACAACAACCCAATTTACACTCAACTCAGTTGTGGAGAAAAAAGTGGAAGGGGCTTTCTCAATGGATTTAGACAAAAGCAAACTACTGCAGCCTCTCCTCGGTTGTCTGTTAGGCTTGTGCACAGATTCATTTTGGATGTTTGCCTTCGGCTTGTTCAGAAGCCCATAACAGCATGGGCCCCACAGCCATTTTTTTACCAGCTGCAACAAAACAGTGCCTGTCAAAAAACAGCTGGTTTTTGTTTCTTTCGGTTATACATACAGTGCAGGAGGGAGGCAGCCACTAGAAGGTTTCTTAAGCCCTCCCTTCTCTCTTGATTTGGAAGCACAAAGGAGATTGAAGTGCGAGGGGTTAAGAGACCGGTTCTCCTTTCCAGGGCCTCCAAATCAAGAGAGAAGGGAGGACTGTTTTAAGGAAGCCCAGGATAGGATACCTCCAGGTCTATCCCTCTTCCTTCCCTGGGAAATGGGAAGCCCCCATAAAATGTCTTGGAAAACTGCCTCCTGCAGGGAGAGAGCTGCGCAGTCTGTGCACCTGCAGTTCCTGTCTCTAGAATAGAAACAGCTTTAACAAAACATTAAACCCAGGTCTCATCTGCAGACAGAAGAGAAAGGATCACAGAAAAATGGTATCTTTACTCTGATGCTTTAATTCCAGGTCTTAATGTAGATATAAGGACAAACAATGCCTAATAATGGGAAGAGGAGCCTGGGAAGTCGTCCCCCCCCCCCCCAATAATGGGCCGGATAAAAAACAAATATTTCAGCTTCCCAGATCGAAAACAGATTTCTGTCCTACCAAATTCGGGAGGCTCCCAAAAAAATGGATTGGGACTCCTACTGAAACATGGTACACCGAAATGGATACGGTTTACCTGGATTGCACAAACCTGTTGTCTGTTCATTTTGGTTTCTAGCTTTTGCCATCTTGACACTCCCTAATGATGCTTGACCCCCTGAGTCCCCATTTTTTCTGTGAAATACTGAAGATTTATTTATTTATTTAAAACATATTTCACCCTTCTCGCTCAAAGGGGACTCAGAGTGGAGCACAACATATATATGGCAGACATTCCGTGCCAGAACATAAAATAAACTATAAATATACATAAACACTAAAACCAGTCATTTCCAATTTAAAATCAATTGTTTAAGCCAAAGGGCAAGCAATGGTTGAAGAAATGTCAATTCCATGATTTACTGCACAACCAGGATTTACCCTTCTTGTCTTCTTTCTTCATAACAGGATCATCAAAGCAGCTGGGAGCGACTGCAGAAGACAGCCGCGCATAGGGAAAAAGGTAACATTTATTTTGATCCCAAATGTCTAGAAGGCTGCTACTTTTGAAATATGTTTTAACAATGTATTGTCGAAGGCTTTCATGGCCGGAATCACTGGGTTGTTGTAGGTTTTTTCGGGATATATGGCCATGTTCTAAAGGCATTTTTTCCTGATGTTTCGCCTGCATTAATGGCAAGCATCCTCAGAGGTAGTGAGGATCCTCACTACCTCTGAGGATGCTTGCCATAGATGCAGGCGAAACGTCAGGAAAAATGCCTCTAGAACATGGCCATATAGCCCAAAAAAACCCACAAGAACCTAGAAATATGTTTTGTCCCTAGTGTTCTCCCTCACCCACAGTGTTTCTCAACCTGGGGGTCGGAAAGGTCACTGAAGCCATCAGAAAACACAGTATTCTCTGTTGGTCATAGGGGTACTGTGTGGGACGTTTGGCCAATTCTATTTTTGGTGGGGTTCAGAATGCTCTTTGATTGTAGGTGAACTAGAAATCCCAGCAACTACAACTCCCAAATGTCAAGGTCTATTTTCCCCAAACTCCACCAGTGTTCACATTTGGGCATATTGAGGATCCATGCCAAGTTTGGTCCAGATCCATCATTGTTTGAGTCCACAGTGCTCTCTAGATGTAGGTGAACTACAACTCCAAAACTCAAGGTCAATGTCCACCAAACCCTTCCAGTATTTTCTGTTGGACGCAGGAGTTCTGTGTGCCAAGTTCGGCTCAATTCCATCATTAGTGGAATTCAGAATTCTCTTTGATTGTAGGTGAACTATAAATCCCAGCAACTACATCACCTAAATGACAAAATCAACCCTCCCCCAACCCCACCAGCATTCAAATGTCGGTGTATCAGATATTTGTGCCAAATTTGATCCAGTGAATGAAAATACATCCTGTATATCAGATATTTACATTACGTTTCAAAACAGGAGCAAAATTACAGTTATGAAGTAGCAACGAAAATAATGTTGTGGTTGGGGGTCACCACGACATGAGGAACTGTATTAAAGGGTCGCGGCATCAGGAAGGTTGAGAAGCACTGCACTAGGAGGTTTGAGAGCAAGCTGTCTGTTTGGGAATTCCTCTGGGGCATTTTATGGGACATATTTCAAAAGGGAAATAAGAAATGAAGAACTATCAGCCATATTGACTCTTTACTTTTCTTTGCAGCGGATATCCCGAATCTCTGTGGCAGTTCCAAATCCATTCGTCTATGTTTCTGCGATGACCCAACATGTGTGGCGTGTGATGAGGCAATCAAGGCCATGTATTTCTGTGACCATTTCAATACCTTTTCTGTACTCCTCTGCGATGACCCAACATGTACAGTTTGTGATACACTAGGCGAGGAGGTCATACAGTTGAATTAACTCAGAGGGAATAAATCTTCCCCAGACCCTTTTTGAAATGTCCTATCCTTCCTTCTGCATCCTCCAGCAGCCATTTTATGTAAATAATAACAACATCTGGGAACTTCAGGGATTGCTAAAAATGGCAGAAAAAATGGAAATATCTCAAATGCCATATCTAAAGTTAAAAAAGAGATGTTTTGAAGTGCTAAAAAGAAGGGTGGCTGCTTTTGAGACTCCCAATATAGGCAATACAAGTGGGGACATAGAAAAGGGCAAGGCAGGGCAGGAAGGTGCTGTCACTGCAAAAATAATACTGAGAACTAAATTATGGAAGGGCTACTAACTAGAGCAAATCTCAGAAAAAATACTTTTGAGAGACGGAGACCACAACTACCTTTTCCAAGTTCTGGTAAGAAGCTGAGAGGACTCATTATGTGCTAATGTCCCTTTTTCGTCAACAAAACCATGAAAGTGGCATTTTCCAAAGACTGAAAACAACAGATTTTAGGATGACCTTTTGGGAAATATACTGGCGCCCTGGGTCACTCAACACTTTAACAGAGGGAAATTATTGAAAGCTAGAAATAAGAAGACACTGAAACAGCTGAAAATAAAAAGCGAAGTATCTCTAGTTGCATTTAGAGCTAGGACCATGGATGAGGGGATCCATGCCCGGCAAGCATTCAGGCTAAACCACAATAGACCAGGGTGATGACAAGCCACAGAGGCTTATTCGATCTGGCCAGAAAGGATGTGTGTACAAGCAGATGCTTTAGAAGATACAGCGTAACCATGGATACAGAGACACATGGTTTTATACATTTGACAGTCATTCAAACCTACCTCTCCTTCTCCTGATTCACTAAGAGAGGGACTGGTTTGGATCTGAGCCCTGACTGGATGGATGACTTTGATGGCTCTAGGTGGGGATTCCCTCTGGCAGGGAGGAGATGAGGGATAAGGTAAAGAGGGCCAATCAGCTGCAGGAAGCATCTACCATGAGAGAGGGTGAGCTCCAGAAGATCTGTGCCCATATTTAGAAATGCTAATAAGTGGCATAATTGTCCAGTTCTGGTTGTTGGGGAAAATGCCCTGGGAAAACAAAGGTGAGACGTATCAGGAACAAAATGTGATTATCTCTTCAATCAAGCCTCGGATTTGAAATAAAGGAGTCCATAAATGTACATATTCCAAGCTTCGGTTTCCACGGTCAGCAATCTCTCAGCCCAAGTGGAGTACTTTGCTGAACAAAAATCGGCAGACTTTATCAGATCAGGTACAGGAACTGTATATCGTTCTACATGCACACACAATGAATCTTGTTTATCACCTTTACCAGGGATAGCTGGGGGGAATTAGCCCAACCTCTTTTGCCCAGGTAATATCTCTGCAGGGTGGTTGAAAGGTGAAGACCTCTGAGACCTCTGAGGTGAAGCCATCTCTGAGGCTGATTTGGAATACATCACATATATTAAATAGTAATAATAATACACTTTATTTAGTGGGTTGTTGTAGGTTTTTTCAGGCTATATGGCCATGGTCTAGAGGCATTCTCTCCTGACGTTTCGCCTGCATCTATGGCAAGCATCCTCAGAGGTAGTGAGGTCTGTTGGAACTAGGAAAATGGGTTTATATATCTGTGGAATGACCAGGGTGGGACAAAGGACTCTTGTCTGCTGGAGCTAGGTGTGAATGTTTCAACTGACCACCTTGATTAGCATATAATGGCCTGGCAGTACCTGGAGCAAACTTTTGTTGAGAGGTGATTAGATGTCCTTGTTTGTTTCCTCTCTGTTGTTGTGCTGTTGTAATTTTAGAGTTTTTTAATACTGGTAGCCAGATTTTGTTCATTTTCATGGTTTCCTCCTTTCTGTTGAAATTGTCCACATGCTTGTGTATTTCAGTGGCTTCTCTGTGTAGTCTGACATGGTGGTTGTGAGAGTGGTCCAGCATTTCTGTGTTCTCAAATAAAATGCTGTGTCCAGGTTGGTTCATCAGGTGCTCTGCTATGGCTGACTTCTCTGGTGAAGTAGTCTGCAGTGCCTTTCATGTTCCTTGATTCGTGTTTGGGCAATGCTGAGTTTGGTGGTCTCTATGTAGACTTGTCCACAGCTGCATGGTACACGGTAGACTCCAGTAGAAGTGAGAGGATCCCTCTTGTCCTTTGCTGAACGTAGTATTTGTTGGATTTTCTGTAGATAGTTTGTATGCTGTGTTTCCTCATCAGCTTCCCTATGCGGTCAGTGGTTCCCTTGATGTATGGCAAGAACACTTTTCCTCTGGGTGGATTTTTGTCTTTAATCTTGTGGCTTGTTCTTGGTCTTGCAGCTCTTCTGATTTCTGAGGTGGAGTATCCATTGACCTGTAGAGCCCAGTTTAGGTAGTTCAGTTCATCTTGGAGGAGGTAGGGTTCGCAGATTCTTTTTGCATGGTCTTCCAAGGCTTTAATGGTGCTTCTTTTTTGACTTGCCTTTTGTATTGCCTTTGACAATACACTTTATTTATATTCCATCCTTCTTCCAGTGGGTACTCAGAGCAGATTACAGTTATATACAGGCAATCATTCAATGCCTTGTTACAATACAATGAGACACCTAAACACAAGCAAAGGCTTCTCTTTTCATTTCCGGCTTTTAGAGGTGGTTCTCATCCCTGGCTCTGTGGGAGGTGCTGTTCTCTATTTTCAAGCCGAGGAGCCTGTGCTCCTGGTTGCGTGACCGGCATGACTGCTTGGAGCGTCTTATGCATTTCCCACCAAAGAAGTGCTTATTTATCTACTCACATTTGTATGTGAGTATTTGTATTTTCGGTTGGCAGGAGCTAGGGCTGACAGTGGGAGCACACCCCATCCCGTGGATTCAAACTGCTAACCTTCAGGTCAGCAGTTCAGCAGTACAAGGGTTTAACCCATTGCGCCACCATGGTATTACACATATAGTATTATATAAATTATAGTATTACACATATAGGGATAAAAATACTACTAAAGAATATAAAGCAGGCAGAAAGTTGAAAGAAAGGATACATTTTATTAATGGTTTGAAAGAATATAATCTTTGTGGAGGAGCTGCGGTCACTGGTCTGCTGTCGGTATCCTTCTCCACAATTGTGAAAACCCAGAAAAGAATTTAGAAAGAACTAAAAATTATGTTTTAATTCCAATACCCTTGGGAAACTATAAAGGGGGGTATCATGTTCGACAACATATGCAACTGCATTTTTTGCTACCAAATGGAAAGCAGTCATAACGGTAGTCCACGCTCTGGTTACATCCCGCCTTGACTACTGCAACGCTCTCTACGTGGGGTTGCCTTTGAAGACGGCTCGGAAGCTCCAACTAGTCCAACGGGCGGCAGCCATGGTACTAACAGGAGCAGGGCGCAGGAAGCATACAACTCCTCTGCTGTACCAGCTCCACTGGCTGCCGATTAGCTACCGGACCCAATTCAAAGTGCTGGCATTGGCCTTTAAAGCCCTAAACGGTTCTGGCCCAACATATCTATCCGAACGTATCTCAGCCTATCAGCCCACCAGGACCCTAAGATCTTCTGGAGAGTCCCTGCTCTCTGTCCCTCCGGCTTCAGAAGTGCGGCTGGCGGGAACGAGAGACAGGGCCTTCTCTGTGGTGGCCCCTCGGCTTTGGAATGCCCTCCCTATAGAGATAAGATCAGCTCCCTCGCTGTTGGTATTTCGAAAAAAACTTAAGACATGGTTGTTTGAACAAGCATTCGGGTAATCCGGTGCGATGAAGTTGATGACAAGGACTGGTAATTATTGACGATGAATTCGGATTATGATTTTAACTAAGAGATGCATTGGTCGGTATTGGTGGCCCGATACTGTGTACTGTATATGTTTTTTATGCTTTTAAATTGTTTGATTATTGTTGTTTTTAAGTACTGTTAACCGCAATGAGTCGCCGTTGTAGGCTGAGATATTGCGGTTATATAAGCATACAAATAAATAAATAAATAACTTTTTTGAGCCTGGTGGCTTTTATACTGGTGTGGTTCATTCTTCTGCTCTTTCGGTTCAGTAACACATACAGGGCTGTGTGGTTCTTATCCAGCAAGAAGAGAATATTGGTTTTACTTGTCAGATATCTTTTTTCAGTGATGGAAGCAGAAACATCCTCTCATGAGTCCCTCCCCTTCGTTGTTTTGGGAGGCAAAAAACCAAATTTTTAGATGGCTTGCATTAGGGGAAGAACCCCCAATATCTCTCAGTCCAATTGCAGCCACAGACAGGCCCATAGCCAGGATTTCGATTTTGGGGGGGGGGGGGGCTGAGTCTGAGTGAAAGAGGGCCTACGCTAGCAAACCTTTTGTATCGTTACCCCAATACCCCCATGCATATGGGATATATTGAGTATGGTGATCAGATCATGATATGAATAAACATAACAGTTTAAATAATGTACCAGTAAGGCCTTCTTCTGGATCACCCTGAGATTTCGGGGGGGGGGGGGCTGGCTACATACCTGGCCACAGATAAACAAGGGTAGGTAAACATTCCCAAAAGAAAGGACAAGAGAAATAATAGCACCAGAACACTAATTAGACAGGTATTTCCTACCCAGCTGACCAAAGGAAAGCTTTGGGTGGGAAGGATGTTTCTGTCTCCATCGCTGAAATTCGTCTAACATATAAGAGCCATTTCCATTTTTACAGCAACGGAAGGGGAAACATTCAATCATGGGACATACAGAGCCCTCTTACTGAAGGTCGATGGACCTAACTATCTATATTGGAGCTACAGATAATAAGATGTCTCCCAAAGGACGACTTCACCAAATCAAATGAAGACTGGGTTGTTAAAGTGTTTGAAATGGCAGAGATGCATAACCTAACTATATTGGCTTCAGGATATGGGGCTACACAGAAATGGGTTTGATCGATGGGTCTCTTCTAGCTCTATGATCCTTTTATTCCACCTGACCTGTCATCTCCCCCTATTTGCTGGCAGACAGTTTTCTTCCAATCAGTGAAACTATGACTCGGGAGACCAGGGTTCAATTCCTGCTCAGCCATGGAAACCCACATGGCGATT